AAGTTGCAGCATAGTTTTATTTTATTTTATTTTATTTGGTTTTACTTGTTTTTTCCTTGGATTTGGGTTTACAATACCCCAATTTTCGTTTTTTGTAGGTTGAAATCCAACTTTTATTGGTCCCGCAGCATCAACTTCCCCACTGCAGAGGTAATTGGGATTTTTGTGGGTTTTTTTTTACATAAATATACTATTTTATTATTTATAGATTAGTATAGATTATTGCTAGAATTATTAGTGAATTACAATTATTTTTTTTTCAAGTTTTTGAGATTGAGATTTGTACTTAGTTGAAGAGTTGTTTTAGTAAATTTGTATATACAAAGTTAGAAATTTTGGATTATTGTGTTTGAAGTTAAGGTTGAGATTGATATTGAAATTGATGTTTAAATATTTATGGTTATTGAAGTAGAGTCATATTTATGTTGAGTTTTATGATTGTCAATTTGTTATTTATTTTAAATTAGCTTTATTAAGAAATTGATATTGAGATTAATTGAGATGTGTATTATTATTGAATTAAAATGATATTTATATTGAATTTTTATATATCAAATACATTATAAAATTATGAAAAGAATATTTACTTGATTGATAAATATTGATTTTTTAATTAATTAATTGATTGAGTAAAGAATTTTGATTATATGCTTTAATTGTGGAGTAAATTATAATTAATTACATTGTTAGTTAAATCATAATTAATTATAATGATTATAGTTGATTGATTAATTAAATCATAATTACATATTTAATTACTAAGTAAACTATGATTAATTGAATTAATTAATTGATTATAAAATTATTATGTGCTAAATAGATAGTCAAGATTATTTTTAAAGCAAAATGAACAATCAATATTACTTTGAGAGTAAAATGGATAATCAATCTTATTTTGACAGCCAAATGGATAATCAACCAAACTTTGATAGCCAAATGGACAGTCAATCCTATTTTGACAGTCAAATGGACAGTCAATCCTATTTTGACAGCCAAATGGACAGTCAACCCTATTTTGATAGCCAATTTGACAGTCAACCATACATTGACAGCCAATATGATGGTATAATTTCTTTTTCCTTTTCCCTCTCATAATTTTTTATTTCATGTTAGTGCATACCATTTATCAACATATTAATTTTATGTTAATTTACATAGGAATTGTTGAGGATACTCCTGAATCATTATGGGATTGTCCATCTCGGAGTCCTCTAAGGAAGAAGTTGACAACATCAAGGAATCATATTGCAATCCCTCAAGACATTCCATTGCCTAAAAATGAAAACAATGTTGTTTGCCAAATATGTGATATTTCTGGACATGTTGCTACTATATGCCCGCAACAATATAAAGTAACTTGTCAACTGTGTAACCGTGAGGGTCATACTGCAAAAGTTTGCCCAAATCATTACCGATCAAAAAGCGCGTCAGACCCATCCTCTACACCCACTGAGTCTTCTGAAACTATTACAAAGATTTTTGCTAATGGTCGTCTCACATTTACAAAAAAGTCTTGAGATGAAGCATGTAAAAAATTACGTTCCATTCAAGAACCGTAGTTTTTTTACCTTACTTACCTATATTTTGCAATGTATTTTCTAATTTCCCTTATCCATGTATGATATTAGGACATAATGTTTTAATATGTATTCTATCTTATGACACTTTAATTATGATATTAGTTTATCTTTTTATATTTATATGTTTCAATTATATGTTTTTATATATATTTAGAATATAGAGCTAATTAATTGGTAAAAATTGTATATAATATTATTTATATAAATTGTATATCAAAAGTTTGAAATAATTAAGTAAAAAAGAAGAGA